CGAGAGTGAAAATTTTCATTTTATTAAAGAATTTATTTTTGATGTCTACTGTACGTACGTAATACGTTTTTTGAAACAATGGAATTATTAACGATGATATGTAAATAAATGATCATTAACTAATAAGTATCTTATTGGCTATTCCTTAAATTACTGTTTTCCCTAAATGCCGGTCCCGACAACTTGCAGATAATTCCCGAGTATTTTTCACAATCCGGCAATTCCATAAAATTGTATCCGTTTGTTGAATTAATATAGCATGTAGGAAAACGTGCCGACATGTGCATTATGTTTTACAACTGTTCTAAACTCTGGACAAGCTAAAGTTTGCTCGTTTTATTCACCTAACTTTTCGGAAATTATAGCACTATCTCCGGATCAAGGTTCTGACGATGATAATGGCACAATTTTCGAAGAACTTTGCAAATCTTATAATGAGAGCTTAGAGTTTTAATTTTTTGCAGATACACTTGTCGGCAAATCATGGAAATCATCACACGAAAAAAAATTAGTACCTACTTACGTAAGGTGCGAATTCACGTGCTATAAATATAAGTATGAGCTGGTCGGTGGCGTACGGTAATAATGTATGGAAAATCAAGAATGAACTTTTACAATTTAGGCACATGTGTTACCATCTATATAATTTATAACTACGTTGATGAAAAACTCAAAATTTTATGGTTTAATTCACATTTTTGAACCGCAAATTCTTTGATTGTTCATAAGACATAGCAACTAATGTGAGTAATTTTCTGTAAATATCATTATTTTTGTATGTATTCAAGATATTTTAATTGAGATATTACTATGTTTAGCATATTATTTGATACCAATTTCGTTTACTGATCTACAAATGAGAAAAAACGCAACTTCTCATGGAGGTAATTCAACAAAGAACGAAACTTTATCCCGTGGTAATAAGAGCATGGCTACTAACACTTCGAAAACTAAAACTGTGAGAGGTGTTATAAATAAGGATAACACTAATACTAGCGTGGCAAAGTCAACAAAAGTAACGAAAGAGAAAGGGGGAACAAAATTATCTAAAGAAGGAAGGGATGATTTTGTCACCCAAGATCCACAAGCCATCGATATGATGGATGCTGCCGAATCAGGATCTATTTCACCCAAAAGAGAGGATGATACTACCAAATTATCATGGGAATGTAAAGAAAAGAATAAAATTCCATTGGTCGCTGCTTCAACAAGCAAGCGTTGTATAGCGGTGAACTTGTCACATTATGTCTTAAAAAGGTTGATTGCAGCTCAGTGTGATGGATCAAGTATGAAAATTAAAGTTGCAAAGGATATTAAAGATATTGTACGTTTCTCCCATCGTTGTTATATTGATTTTTGAGTAAGAAACCCATCGAAAATAATTCAATCTTCTAAAGAGTTGTAGGTTTTTGCCTACACCAAAATTTATTTTGTACCTGTATAATTTATTAAATTTAATGCTTATTTAAAATAGGAAATTACACTTAATGGAAAAGATAAGTTTAAATTTGAAAAAACACCCGTGGAAAAATTATCAAAAATTCTTTTGTTGAGCAGAAATCAGATGGAGGTAGTCGGGGATATCAAATACCAAGTTACAAGTACAAAAGAATCGAATCGCAAAGCAAAAATGGATCTAGCGACTAAAAGGCTGAATACTGCTTATAAAGAGGAAAAGATAAAAAAGGAAAAAAGAAGGTGATTGTAATTACATAATACTTACGTTTGTTTCAATGAATAATATTATTTTATTTAATAAATTTATCGGGT